TAATAATAACATGCTTTTATTTTACTAGCTTCATGACTGAACGTCCGGTCCGGGTCACGTTATTTCTCGCACGTCTGTCGTAAGGTGCTGATCAGCTGACTTGTACAAAAAATGCGTTTCCGGTGACTTTGTATGAACTGTGATTTGCAGATTTATTCCATTTGTGTAAACCTGAAACCTTGCTGACAATTGCTAATGACCAGTACCTCTTTTTTTTATTTTTTATTTTTTTAGAATACAAGAAACATTTTTAAAGTATTTTCTCAGATGAGAATAAAGTGGCTTTATTCTGTCAGGCAAAAGCAACAGAAGCAGAGCAATTTARAATCTTAAAGGTACACACAGACACTTCGTTTGGTTAAAAATTTGTCCTTAAATTGTGTAAATAAACGACGATATACATTGGGTATGATAATTATCGTACAACAGACAAATAAGAAGTAACAGATTTTTATTATTATTGTGGAATCGATCGGTGATTGATTTTTTTGGTCTAAATTTGAAGCAGCTTCCTAAAGGAAAACAACGCAAGTTAGCAGGTAGCGCGAGGTAGGAAGACAAACGCGGCTAACATAAACACAATGCGTTGATGTCAAGAAGGCGTCAATAAGTAGAACATTTACGAACATGAGTATACGTTTAGTCGATTCTTACGATGCCAATTTAGACTAGAATATCACCACGTGGGTCGAGCCACTGGTGTACAGATGCGTTTGTTTCAGAACCTGGATGTGTTTGAGCGGGCGGGGTTTAAATTGCTTTGTGTTGACATTGGTGTGGCATGGTCTAAACTCTTAAGCAGACGGCCTGTTTGGGTGTAAAAAACGAACGATACATGACCTAAGTCTTTACATTTAATACGTAAAGMGTTTTTATTTGTGTTTTTAACGACTTACCGTGTAAATGTTTAGCATTACGACGACATTTAATGTGAATTAATGCTCAAAATATATGTAAAAAAGAAACTTATCGACCACATGTATGTCTTTCCARAAATTATTTTTACGTTCGCTGATCAGTAAATGTTTTTTACTTGTTAAGTTAATAGAGATACAGATAAAAGATATCCGAGTATTAGAAATGTTTCCTTCATAAGTAGCATCCAAATGCAGATCAAGTTTTTGTAGAAAACTTGAAAGATCAAAATTGTTTCAAAAATAAATTTTCGTCTACTTCCTGTAACTAAAATGTATTTTCTGGCCATATTTAAAGTACTATTATGAAACCATGTTAATTAATACAGGGCAATCTTTTCTATTTTACTATGAAACAGAGAGGAGCATCGTCTGAGGGTGCCGGTCATGGGTTTGACCAAACAGTACCTTCGATATGCTGCCAGTGCTGTGTTTGGAGTCATTGGCAGCCAGAAGGCCAACATCACATATGTGACGCTTCGAGGAGGGGAGAGGGGCCGCTACGTGGCTGTGGCTGCGTGTGAACATGTCTTCATCTGGGATGTTCGAAAAGGAGAGAAGGTGAGTCTTTAGAGAGGGTTTAGACGGAGAGTCCAGGTATGTACTGAAATTGTCTGAAAGCAATTCGATGACTTCCCTCCGTCTCTGCGTCTCTGCGTGTTGTCCTGTCCAGGTCCAGATCCTGCAGGGACAGAAGCATGAGGTGAGCTTCCTGTGTCCATCTCCTGATGGAGTGCACATCGCCGTGGGCTATGAGGACGGAGCGGTGAGAATCTTCAGCCTGCTGAATGGTGAAAGCAACGTCTCTTTCAATGGTCACAAGTCCGGCGTTAGTGTTATGAACTACGACGCTCTCGGGGCTCGACTTGTCACTGGTTCCAAGGTAACGTTGTCAACCTGTTCACAACTTTTGGGTTAAATAACGAGAAAAAAAAGCAGCTTTGGAGATTAAACTAGAGCACTGTTTCCCAAAGTTGGGGTCGGGACCCAAAATGGGGTCCAGAAACATCAGGGTGGGGTCCTGAAAAGATTTTCTGAATTAATTACATTTTTGCCTTAGTTGTTACAAAGGAGTGAGGCTAGTGTATTTAAAATGGATACATGTAGTATAAAAATATTGTTACTATGCCCATGTTTAGTTGACCTGATACAAATGTTTACCAGTGGTGGACAAAGTACTCAACTCTAGTACTTAAGTAAAAGTATTGATACTCATGGTCAAATCTACTCCACTACAAGTAAAAGTTACTCAGTCAAAAATCTACTCAAGTAAAAGTACTGAAGT